GATACTATTATTTTGCTAGCGGTATTTACCGGTAACTCGCGGTAGACTGTGTACAGCGTACCGGAAAATAATGCGGTATCGCCAGCGCACTTTGAATGGCTGCATCTGTACCATGGTGCTGCCCTCTTTTTAATTGTTTAGTTTAATTTACAGTACACTGCAAGTACATTTTCCTTTTAGTTTGTAAAAGGGTCTACATATAGAAATGTCCTAAACTATACATTTGTGTGCCCAAAGATGTATTTTGTTGTACAATTAATAATAGACAATCAGTACCACAGTAGCAGGCAGTACCACCTTAGAAAGTATTAAAATAGGTATTAGAAACTGCTACATTTTTAAAATTTTGACCAAATATGCAATCACAAAAAATCCATTGATGTGATGAAAGCAGGCTTAAATATAGTAAACGCCACTATGTGCTAAAGATTACTTAAAATCCCTGTAAGTTCTCAGAAATTAAAGACACCAGTACAATATGTTTATGTAAAGGCTTTACATTTTCTCGTCTGGCTCTTGCCTATTAAAACATCATAAAATGAAGTAAAATTACTCATCACTGTTTGCATTATTAAAAGTTTTTATGCTTCTTTTTATCTTCATATAATGGCCATTAATGGTCTATTGCAAAGGAAATTGGTTATCAAAAATGAAAGCATTACTGCTTTGTGTATAACAATCTTATGTCTTATGTATTCCACTGGCTAGGTCCTAATGAGCTTTCTATACTTCCATTATACCTTTTTAAACTATCTTAGTTATTTTTTAAACCTTAAACCTCATACATTTAAAAATTAAATAGATAAGCAAATAAATATATTTGTTTTATTCAATTTATATATTTTCCATGAAGAGAAAAGATTATTCTAAGCTGTTCAACAAAGTAAGCAGATTATCAAAATGTTTCATACCTTTATAGGAATGTTGGGGGATCAATATTCTACTTTCTACTCACTGCAAGTAGAAATGTCTTCAACTATGAGAGTCTGTTTAGGCAGTGAGAGGATGTACTATTAATAACATTCTAAATCTGTACTGGAAATATGTCAATAACCATATCAAATGTCATTAGGTCTCATTTTAAAATAGGCTGATTGCAGAGCAGGATAAAACATGTCTATCAACAACATTGATCATATTTGAAACAATAACAACATTTTATTTTGAATATCTTAAAACTTGATCTTAAAGATTGATTTGGTTGTTAAATTTGGAAGTTTATATTGTACAATAAGGAGGTAATCAAATCAATACAAAAATCAGGTCCTGACACCAACTTACTATGCCTGCAAATTATAAATATTAATGATAATTTCAGCCTTTAGGGTCAGGGAATCCCCACCATTACAAGGTATATATGTTTTTTTTTCTTTAGTACAGCTTAATACAGAAATGACCATGAAGCAAGTTTAAACAGAACAAACAGTATAATAAATTGCACATAAACCACACACAGAGGTTACTGCTATAAACAGAAACACAGAAGATCAAGTTCTCAAGCTCTGCTTTCTACAAAGATAGAAAACTTTGTAGCAGCTATGTTTATTAATAAATGACAGATTTAAGTGTTACATGTTACAAGGGTTGTCACTCTGGCTAATGAATAGCCCTGTTGATTCAGGAATGCAGGTGAGATGGGCTTTCTTGATAAGCAGAACATCCTGGAACTGTCAAACCAGGACAATAGTCTTAATGATGAATGCCCATGATGGGACCCTCTGTGTCTACAAAGAAATATCAATCTGGTATGATCTTGGTGGTATGATCTTAGCTGCAGATCAAAGCCAATCATCCAAAAGCTTACCAGTGAAAAACCTGCAGAAAGTGTGGGAAGCCACACCACCTGATGACAGTACAATCAATCACAGATCAATTATCAGACAACATAAACCACACAACTACCATCACTGCTGTTGAAGACTTTTTCCTAGATATCAGTTACATTGGGAGTCATACATAAACACTGTTTCACTGTTTTGCTTTATCACTGGTACTAATACAGCTGAATTTTCATCAACATGTCTAAATATATTTATATTTAGAAATAGTAGCTACAGACAGGAGGAAACTGATTTTCTCCTCACTGGAACCAGAGTCCAATTTCATGTATTAACTGTTAAAATAAAGTTGAGTATAATTCTTAAAAGGAAATTGTTCCATGCTGAAATGTCTACTTTCACAAAGATTTTGCAGAGTTCCCTCCCTTCTCTCCATTCAATCCATCTTCATTATTGATTGGCACCAATATTAGTGATATATTTACTTATCTTTTAATATTCATTAGGTATATAAATATTGAATAGGTATGTAATGTTGCCATAGCCAAAATGTAATGTAGTGTGCTCTCTGGCTAGGCACCAGTTCTGTAGGGTTTGGGCATTTACTGGGACAATTATTAATTGTAGCAGTAAATCACAAAATTGATTCTTTTGATGGCTTTAGAATCCAACCATGCGATATAACTCAAAAAACGTACACACACAGGTACTAATACATGAGGATACATTTATTAACACATTGAATATGCATATAAACCTAACAGATCTTATCGAGAGGGTTATCAGAATACAAAAGATATATATTCAGTCAGTTACAAGTGTTACACATATCAAGAGGACATACGTTCAGTATATCATTCATTAAGACCGTTTCGTAATTGAACTTGGTTACAACTTCTACATTAGATACTCAAAACAAGTACATAACTCTTAGGAATTAAATTGATATCAACTGGTTGGGATAACAATTGAATTCTCGAGCTGTAATGCACTGAAGTTGAATACTCATCCAATCTCTGGGGATTCAGATCTCCTGCCGGCACAAAGAAACAGTTGCAGGCTTGTTGCTGTCCAATCCGTGCTCTGCTGATGTTCACTGACCGGCTAGTTAGTGTTGGATTTAACTAGCAAAGTTTGCGCACAGGAGAAAAGATGACTGTGGGTCCCAGCAAGTCAGGAAGAGGACTGGTTCGTTCCTGATGATGAGCTAGTTCTGAATAGTGATTCAGCTGTCCACAGTTCCGACCTGTTCACAAGGCTTGCTGCTGGTGCTCACCTCGGGTGGATCCTCTGGTTACTCTCTGGCAACCTCCACTCTAGACTCTTAGAACAAAGGAAAGTTCTGGCACTCGGACACACTGGCCGTCCCGTGGTTGTCCGGGCTGAGTCTCAGGATGGTCAGGAGGCGCGCTGCGAGAATGTCCTGCCCTTGGGAGCCTTCTGCTCCTGGGCCGTCCTGCCCTGGAATTCTCCTTTGAATTCCCTTTAGAAAAGTCCACAGAATTCTCCAGAATTCTCACTGAATCTCTTCTGAATCTCACAGGCTCTCTGTGTTGCCTGTTTTTACCTGGAGGAACTTCAGCTCGTTGATTGGCTGAACGTTTCATGGGCATCAGAGTCCCACGTGGGTTACTCGGCCCTACCAGTCCCTGATTGGTTGATCAAGGTGAGATATGAGTCACTTACTCCTGACACTTAGGAATGCAGTCCAGATGTTCATCTGGCACTCCCTAGACAGCTAGGTGCCAATTGATGACCATTGATCATGATAGCCAGGTTTAGCTAAGTGCATCCCCATTTGGGAGCTGTCCCAAAAGAAAACATCTTTAAATCAGCCTGCATGAACAGCTTCTCTGTTGCTGCACCACAAAGATGAAGAGGGAGATGGGGCCTCATTTGGGAAAGCACAGCAACACTTAATTCTGCCTTATTAATAAGCCTCGCCGCTACAGGTATATAAGACTGATTAATGAATAAGAAGTTATGACCAAAATTAAAATAAATGTTTAATCTCTTTGTGTCCCGCTTCTTAATCCTGATATTTTTGTATCTTGGCATCCTGCAAGTAAATGATCTGCTATTTTGTGTCTAAGCAGGTAATATTTCAAGTATTACTTTTGGCTGGTTTGACAAAATAAAACCAACACAAAGCTCTATGGTTCAGACAGTGCACTTTATTTACAAAAACTGAGAGAAAAACACCACAACCTAAATAATAAACTAAATAAAAGCTAAGGTCTTCATTAAGCTCCTACCTCACTTCTTCCTATCCCTAATGCACCAGTCAGCTAAGCTGTTTACCTGTGGTTATTCTGAAAACATGCATGTTAAACATTAAAAATAGAAGTAGCAATAACATATATAAATCTGCGTAGTGAAAAGCTGCTGTAGCATACGTGACATCCTGGGGCTGTTTATAAAGTGAAATTACTCAGTTAGACAAACATATGAAAACAATGTATTTATTTATTGTATTGCATATTGTTAATGTGGTGTGTTTTTTTCGGGTTGACATATGCATTAAAATATTTTTTTATATTTATTCTTAATGCTAATTTAAGTAACAATTAGGAAACAGATAATTTTATATTTTTTTATTATAAAAATATTATATATATATAAAATGTTATGGCTTTAAAACCATGCAGTGTCATACTGTATTTGTTTTAAAAACAAATAAACACTATCAGTGAAAATCTAAATAAACTCAAACCCAGTATCTGAACCTAATTCCTTCATGAAAATCTGTTCAGAAGGTAGATCATAAATCGAAAATAAAAATTCCATTATTTCTTATGGGGAAAATTCCACCCCGTTCCAAACCGAAGACAAGTTCATTCAAAAACCACCATAAACATACTGTATAATACTGTAACAACCATGGAGTTTGGTATGGGATGGAAGTGTAAGACTCAGGAAAAGGGGTTAACCAACACATTTATTAACCAGAACAGGGGAAAGGTACACATACAGGGAAAGGGATTACAGTGCTGCACCTACACTAACACAGACTTTAAAGAAAAACTTTATAGATTCAGTATGTACTGTACTAAGCCGTAACGAGTCCAAACGGTTCCCATGACACCTGGTAGTCTGCATAAATTGAAAAAGTGCCAGTTACATCTACTTATCTCCCACGATCCATTGCTTTTCCAAGGCACTGTAAATTGGTGCCCATCGAGTTCAAATGTCTGGGACGTAGCGGTGGCTCTGTGGCTAAGGATCTGTGCCTGTGACTGGAAGGTTGCCAGTTCAAATCCTGTGGCTGGCAGAGGAATCCTACTCTGAATACCTAACTGCTCCAGGGGTGCTGTACAATGGCAGACCCTGTGCTCTGACCCTAAGCTTCTCTCCCTGTCTGTGTCTCCATGGAGAAAAGCTGGGGTATGTGAAAAGATGAATTCCTAATGCAAAAAATTGTACAGGGCTAATAAAGAAATATTATTATTATTATTGCTTACTGTTACTCTGGAGGAGGCAAAAAGACCTAGGGAAAGAAGATGATATCAAGAAAAACCTGGGGAAAAATTCCTCCTCAGCCACCTCAAACTCAACCACATAGAGTTCCGGTAACAACAGCAAATTTGTCCTAGCTAAAACTGAGAAAAATTACCAAATAAAAAAACTAGCAAAACTGTACTCCTCTCACCAGACACATCCCACCCTTTTGTTTGCTGTTTTTCAAGAATGTGCATCTAGCGAAAATACACTTTCGGCATGTGGGGCAGCAAGGATATTTGGTTTCAAGGAAATTAAATTGTTGAATATATCCTTCTCAATTTCTGACCAACACAGTAAAATAGCTGCACCAGTTTTATGACCCCAAGTGTCTAGGGGTAAAGGGGTGTAACATTTAGGATAATTTTTTGATGCAGGTGGGTTCTGGTGAGGGACTAGGAAGTGTGATAACAAGGGTTAGTGCAAAAGTGATTATTTTAAATTGAATAAGTGAATGAATAAGTGTATGTAATAGAACACAATAACACACAGTGAAAAGGAAGTAGAGTGGTCCCAAAGAAAAGAAAACAACAAACAAAATGGAACTGGCTAAGAAAGTGAGGGAAGCTAACCTAACTACAGAAGAAAACCCAAAACACACGGTCTTCGGCGTTGTTACGTCCCAGTGTGTGGTTTATGTGTGTTTTTGATGTTATGCTCCACACTGCTGACCTTTGATTGTTCTCCCTCCCCCATTGGTCCATCATTACACCACTGTT